CAATTTATTAATACCAAAAACTTATAAAAATTGCAAAACATAACTTTCTATATGACCTCCAGCACCTTATATTTACATTTAAAAATTCTATACTCGTAAAAGATAAAAAGCGACTCCCATATGAAAAATACTGACAATTATATTCAAAATTTGGGAACCTGATATTTTCTATTTGACTTGAAGGGTCAGTTAATAAATAAATTAGAACAGTTCAAGGTTGATTTTTTTTTTCCTTCAATGCTATTCTTTCTTGATTTACTTTACTCTTGATTTATCTTTGATTTATAATTTTGTTACACTTGATCTGGGAAAATTTTCACAGAGTTTCCATACACTAAAAATATATCATTAATATTTTCCTAAAGTTTATTATTTTAGAACCATAATCTAATAATCATAAAAAATTTACTAAAACAGAAATATTTTTAATTTATGCATGTGATGTTATAAGTTGGTAATATACCAATACTGAAACTTGCCAGTGTTTTTGAGAGCACAAGTTAAGATTTTGGAAATAAGATCTCCTTTCTGAAAAACTTTATATTCATCAAAACGTTTCATGACAATCTACATAGAAAAAAGAGATGGGCGAAACTGCTTTTAACGGATTAGATTGGAACTGTTCGCTCACTGAAGTGACTCAGTTCTTTTTATTGATTCACTGCTCACTAACAATGACCTTGATGAATACATTTGGAACAGACGTAGATCAAGGGCAGTATACAAAGAGTGGGGGGAAAGCAGAAGGAATAGAACAAGGAGTGGGATGGGTGGAATCAACTCAGCCAAACAGCTCACTCCCTGATTTTTTTTCATGTGTACTTTCGAGATTCCCTAAAAACACCTTTCTGCATAGAACAATAATAAAATTCTGAAATAAAAAGATGCTAAAAGTTAAAAAATATGGAAAACTAAACTCATTTTGTTAAAGATTACATTATTTTATTATTATAATTGATATTTTATTGCTACTACAAAGCATAGAGTAAAAATAAATTTTCAGATTGGAAGCAGATCCCAAAGAACAGATAATTGTCTGTTGACAATACCAGCATTTTCCTTTCTTTATCTAATTTGACAAAATGATACCAAATATCGCTTGACGTTCTTCTATGCAGTAGGGTCCACATTTTGTTCTGCAACTTTGAAAAGATATGTTAGATGGTAAAAATTTATGTAAATGAATACATACTAATTCTAAAGAAGATTAAAGAAAAATTCAGAGCTCTTGACTACAAGATGTTACTAAAATAAGTAAATAAAAATATAATTTATTATTCTACATAAATGTTGCACTATTGTATAAAAAAAGGTAATACCTAATATACATAGCTCTACTATGACACTATATTGAAAGAATTGAAATGAAATTCAAAGGAACAGCTTCAAGGAAGCAAAAAGAGCAAATACTCAAGACTCTGCAGAACTGTGGTACAGCAGGAGAGTCAGAGCGAATAATGAAGATTCCGGAGGAATCAGAACCACAGCTAGAGAAGGAGTGATGAAAAGAGAGAATAATCAAGACTCCAAAGGATCCAGATCTAACTAGAGGAAAGAGTGCTGACAGCAGGGAATCCAAGGTGGAAACTAAGAACCTATAATCTACATACTTTAAACAGATCCTCACACTGCCATATAGGAAAAAAACGCCATCCATTTGCCAGCATGGGTGGTCAGTTTTGCTAAGATGCAGTTTATTTAATGTTTAATTTTGTAATTACTAGATGAAACACAAGCAAACCAAAAGCACACACATATATACATATAACATACACACACATAAAAAAAAGGTCAGAGACATTTCAGGTAATTAATAAAGGAAATAATGTTAGGGTTTATGTAAAAGAAATCAAACTTTTGACATGGTTCCCAACAAGAGTTCTCCATGAAATGTTAAAGAACTACCACTCCATTTTCGCTGGATCGGAGATCACTCGCTCAGTAAAGTGAATCGATTCCTTGAATCAGCTTCAGAGCAGATCTTCCATCTCTAATAAAAATGTTCATCACTTGATCTCTTAACGTTACAAACTTTTTTCTAAACTGATATTTTATTTTTAGTTCCATACAAAATGCAAACATTTCACTCTTTGATTTTCATACAGCTTCTGAATATGATCTCCAACTTCAAACTTAAATATTTTAATCAGTTTTGTCATATAGGAATCAAACTTCTATATTTCACTTTTATTCCGAGTGAAAAATTTTCTTAATTAGAAATATGGACCAAAAAAATGAATTAAATGTTAAATTTTGTAATTTTTTCAAAACTGATTTCTTTTAATTCAAAAATATCAAAACAAACATTTGCATCATTTAAAACATTTTTGTAATTGGTAATCTATGTCTATAACCAAGGTTGCAAAAATAAAGAGCAGGTAAGGATTTTTGTACAATATATATATTGCACAATATAATTAGATATACCAAATAATTGGTGATGATGACAATTGGTGATGCTGGATTTTATGTGTAAAGAAGAAATTTTTCAACAAAGATAAAGATGTGCGATATTTTCATTCATCATCTTTATTAAAGCATAATTTCTAGTATAATAAACACAATAAAACAATGTAAATACTAAGACATATTATTCAACAATTTCAAACATAGATTTCACATATATGCAGCATTATAGTTTGCAAAAGAAGAGAGTTGCAGGTGATATTGTAGCTTGACAAAGGCAGGTATGAGAACAGCAACCATATGTTGTGTTAGATTGAGAATGGTGAAATTTCTTAAAACAGGGGCATAGTATCCTTTACTACAACCTGTTCATAAAAGTTTTGATTAGAATTTTATTGCACAGTAGACTTCAGTTTCATTTTTGGCAATATGTAAGTGTGACACTCCAGAAAGATTTATTAAAGAGACTTTACCATCTGTAGAACAGAAAAAGGTAATGCCCAAAGGAAAAAGACTTTAGGGGGTACTACAAATTAGAATTTTATTTTACATACATACTGCAAATACAAATTATTAAATGTGCTGTTCAATGCTAGGTTGTTTCACCTTTACATTGATAACAGCAGCAGTACACCTGGAGAGGAATTCCATGATGAAGAGCTGAAAACAGGATGGTGGTACCGACACCCAGCAATCCTGCAGTTTCCACCAAAAATCCATTACAGAGCATGGTGTTGAGCCCATAGAATGAAACGAACATTGCTGCTTATCCTACAGATGTTCAAGAGAATTCATTTCTGAAAACTTTACAGGCCAGGTGAGTATTCCAATACCACTGCTTTGCTAATTGAACTTGCCTGTATAACATGTGACTGCTGGAGTGATGCATCATCCATATTGTCTTATGAGAACAACAAGCACCTGAAGTGATATAGATGATGGACCAGCAGGTTCAACATAGTCCAAGATCATGAGAGTTCCACCAATCATGATAAAGAGACCCACCCAGGACCACTTAGAGATGGCCCAGGCCTATGAAAAGCCTGCATGATATAAATGAATACAATGCTTCATGTCCTACATGTGAACTCTACCATCCACATAGACCCACCAGCGGCCGAGCGGTAAAGGCGCTGAACACTGGTAGTTCGGTCCAAGGTTTGAATCCCGAGAACGGGCTGGCTGCATGGGCGTTTACATGGTTTTCCTCATGTGTAATGTGTATATGAGCCAGTTTCCCTTAGAGAAAGTCCTCCACAAAGGCATCCCTCCCTTTAGGCAGATAGCACTAGTGTGCTTTGCCATAACTGAGTAATCCTAACCCTACCATCCACATACAATAGCTGGAATTTTGAGTTATGAAAACAGATGATACATTTCCATTCTCCTACTTTCCAGTGGTGGGAACAGTCCTTGTGCAGACATTGGATGAAGCATGTGCATTAAAATCTGTCACAGTCAGGCATAATGTTTCCTTTTTTGCCATATGTGATACGACGAGTTCTTTCATGAGTGATATGACTAGTGTTTTAGCACTGTGCATCAACTGCTAGTTTATGGCTCTATTTTACATAATTCCCACTGGTTTTTCATTTATTAAGTACTGTTAAAACACCCATGCAACAGTACTACATGACATATTCCACAGTTTAACCGCTGCCAATATCGAACAGTCAGCTTGTTAACTATCAAACTTGTTTAAATGACTACCTTTATCCCAAGATAACAATCTTTACCATGCCCACTGAAGCTCTAATATTTTGTTACACTGCCAACAGCCACTGATTTGCAAGTCAATGGTTCCCACTGTGGTTATTTACATGGCTCCATTTTGAGCATGTATAATAATTTGTCCTTTCAGTTAATACATATTACATATACTATAAAGAGGGAGAAATAAACAGAGTCTTAAACTTTTATTGCAACCTTGTTAATTTTTATTCTAACAGTAGCTATAAATCCAAGCATATGAAAACATTAACAGCATTTAAAATTGTTTAATATTTTATTAATTACCTTCAGTTTCCATATCTGCTTATATAATTAAACGACATTTCAATGTTTACAGCTGAAACAACAGGTAATATTTATTTGCCCACGAATACATATTTTAAACAAATAAAAATATCAGTGCTACTTTTGAGAAAAAGATCTTGGTTACTTCCATTAATAATGAACTTGAGTTGGAAGAGTGGGTCAAAACTGAACTAAGAATTTCCAAGTGGAAACATGCCAACTTTCAGTTTGCATAACTGGTAATATTGAATCATTATTTGGTGTTTATTCCAGTATAAGGGAAGCTTAATGTATTTCAAAGAACACCATACACCTCCTTTAGAAGCACAAATTACTATGTCTAGTAAATGTTAGAATAATTGTATGCTTGTACAGGACCACATCATATTAGTACACTGAATGTGTTTCTTTGCCGAAATTAATACCAAATAAAATTTTAATTTTACCAACCATCAAAAGCATTGATCACACCTGTGAACTGGAAAAACAGCAAATTTCATCTTCCAAAATTGATTTTAAACTACTGCAAAGTAATAAACAGTCTTATGAAATATGCATTAATAAAACAAAAATATTACCTCATTGTCTTTAAAAAATAAATTAAGTGGTCGATGATTAATTTCAGTCAGTACCCAGTTGCATAATGAGTTGCCATCAAATGTAGATGCTTTTGCAGATAATCCATGATGAAATACTAATCCACCTGGTTTAACTTCTTTTATCTAATGTTATACAAAAGAAAGAGTCATTGTAAATAAATATCTGTTCTTACTATAATTCTCTTTTATTGTTGAATTTCTTTTATTGTTTTATCTTTAGCATTTTCACAGCACTGAAAAAAATCAGCTTGTGCATTAAAATGATGGTAAAGTTACAGAATAACTTACAGGACTTTGCATAATCAATACTGGGTTGTTACAACTATATAAAAATCATGACCAGCTATCAAGGAAATGTAAGGCAATTGGTTCCAAGATGTTGTGTAAAAAATATACTTTTGTATTGATTCATGTATAATATATATGTTTTATAATATATAATATACTATAACTTACTTATCAATCCCTCATAATTAAATAAAAATTTATTGATGTAATTATTTGTCTCCAATCTTTGTTCCATTGCTGGAAAATTTTCTGGGGATGCTTATGATAATGTAACATTTTCTGACATAAAGTGGTCCCACCTATGCCTTCTTAAAGATCTGGGTATCAAATTCTGTAGCTCTGGACTTTACCTCTCTATCACTATGTCACACACACACAAATTCTATCTTTTATTATTACAGATATTTATATATGACAGCAACAGCAAACAAATTCAATATATTGTAAAAATAATGGTAGAAAAAATTACGATATTAGAAGAAATACACATTTTTGCCCAAAAATCATCTCTTAATATCATTATTTAAAACTTGAAATAATAACATAACTATTATTTAAAAAATACACATCAATATGGCTAATCTACCATTCCACTTTAAAGATGAAGTAAACTTTGTTGTGCATAAAGTTTATTACTTCTGCATTTTTACAGTGATACACATTCAAAGTAATCCAGAAGAAAGTTGATACTAATGAATAAACTGCTTTAAAAAATTCCCCAATATGGGGTAACAACAGAATGCAAGCATATCTCTGACATACAAAAACATCAAATAACAATATGGCAATCAAATATACAGAAGAGAAACATTCAGATATGTTCAATGGACAAATAATAAACAATGTCAAACTAGATTTAATTATACATTATTACTCTTTAGATTTCTAGTTAAATGGCAGATGTCTTCTTAAAGAATCAGTTAAAATTCTAATTTACAAATAAAATTTTTGTTACATAGCTGTTCCAGAACTACGAAGTGTTTTGAAAAATATTTTTATAATTTCCATTTTGTATCTAAATTTCCTTCCTAGTGAGCTAAACTAAATTCGTTGTCAGACTTATTTTGTAATTACCTGGAGCTGATGCAATCATCATCTGCCAGAAACTTTTGAATTTTTATAATTTTAAGTGATAAGCATGTTTAAGTAACTGTCAAAGTTCAGATTTATAAATTATTTTAAATCAATATTTAAAATAGTGTATTAAATACAAACTTACATACATGGTTTGGGATTTTTATTATTACTGTTAACCAAAACTAACATATTCACTCATTCCTTTTCGCAGGCAAAGGAAAAAATAACTACTGAATTTATGGATTTCAAGTGGTAAGATTGCTTAAGGGGACAGTAGAGGATAATTTTAGCAAAAACCGACCAAAAATTGAGGAGAAAAAAAGTTTATATGATATCTTGCATTTTTAACTCTATGGTCTACAAAAAATCACTTGTGTGCAAAATTATTTTTAATGAAGTTAAAAGTATCTGAATACGCTTGTTTATATCCTTTTAGTGACATTTGAAGGGATTTTAAATATCAGTAAAGAGGAAGGCAACATTTGAGAAAAGTTATTTTAATTTCCCTAACTAATACCTTTTACTGTTAGTAAGATATGGATGTGCAAGGTATGAAGACTGCAATTTATGCAAGTTTGTTTCACTGTTCTTCCATGGTGACTCACCTAGGCATAATAAATACCCAATAGGTGCCATATCATTTTTTTTCCCAAAGTAGCATTGCCAAAAATAAGAAATCTAAATCTCATTCAATGATGAAAATCTAATTATCTGTAAATGTAAAGTCAGTGTGTCAAAGACTAGCCGGTAATTAACTTTTAGCAAGGTGCATATGTGGAACAACACTAACGAGAGTGTACATAGTGTCATCTGGAAGAACTGCCTCAAGGAAATATTTGTATCGAAAAACAGACTGCAAATGACTGTTATTACAGCAATAAGTGACTTTAATTTTGGATGCTTGAATACTTTAGGAATGGAATAGGAAGATATAAATTCATGTTCAATATCTATTCGACAGAGGTAACATAATCAATGTGACCAAAGCAAAAAGAGGTGTTCAACTGGATACAAGAAAAGAATTACCAAAAAAACTGTGTAAAGTAGCTAAACGTATTGAAAATGTAAATAAGGAAGGGGAAACATATGGTGCAGGAAGTTTTTAAAGCCAGTCTTAGTTTTAAAAAAAATATTTAGTTGAATTTACTGATAGTGTTCAAGAAAATTTCTAAAATAATATTATTTTTTACCATTTTATAAGTGGAAAAAATATTTATGCATACGTAAAGTAATGTTAAAATATTTATATTAACCTTCCAGCACGGCGTATATGCAAAATTTACGATAAATGCAGTTTTTGATGCACATTTTTTGCATATTGAAGCTGAGACGTCTGAAGGCCATTTCTATTCCTCTTTTCCTCCCTTCCCTACATCATGGAATGTGCCAACTGGAAGTCATTTGACTTTTTTTTTTTAACTGGGCTTTTGTGTTACCTGGCAGCTTTTTCATAAAAGTTATGACGCACGCGTGGTTGTGTTTTAAAATTCGGAAAATATTTTTTCTCAAATATTTTGTAATTTTGTGTTATTAATTGCCATGTATTATTTTAATTTGAATACATTTGGCTCTGTAAATTTTATATCGGTTTTCATGCCAAAAAAATATGTGCAACCAGCTGATTTTGCTCAGATTCTTCAAGAATTATCTGATGAAGACAAGGAAACCTTTGGATAGGATAGCGATTTCCATTCCTTATTTTCTTTTATTTCTATTTTTAGAAATAAATAAAAACATTAAAATTAATTTAAAGTGTGTTTTTGTAACCAGTAAATTTCCTTGCAGAAGTAAGTAATGCTAAGCTTACTAAAAAAGTAATGCTAAGCTTACTTTTTTCCCTACCAAGGTGTTCTTCTTTTTTATTGTCTATACTTGTCTTTGATGAATATTAAAATTAGCTTTGATTTTAAAATATAATTATTAAGTAATAAATTTAAAGTTTTCTACAATGAAATACATCATTGCATTTCCATCTCACTAACATAAGAACTTAAAAATAATTTATTTATATTTAAATGTGATATTATTTGTATTTTGCAATAATAAGATTAATATTTTATTTCTTAACAAATTTATTATCAATAATAACTCATTTCTGTTGTTTTTCGTGCCAAAAACGGTAAAATAATGCATGTCGTAAAAAATACGACACGCGCGTGCTCATGTAAAATTGCCAAGTGCGCATGCTGGAAGATTAAATAAAATAATGTATTAGAACATACAGAAAAGTAAATAGCATAAAAATATTCTTAAAATGTATTTAATTAAAATGTATTAATGAAATTTTTCTGATTGTTACATCTTCAAAATGCTCCATGCACTTTAGTTTATGTTCAAAATGATTGTAATTTAAAACTTAGATTCTTGTTTATACATGTAACTAGATAATTTTTGAATACAAATTCATAAAGGGAATAAAAGTACAATTACAGTGTAGTGAGAAATTTTGTCCGACATTTAGGTATATGTAAAAAAAAAATATTAATTAAAAATTAACATTTTATGCAATTCACTAATTGATACCAAATTGTGTTTGTAATATAATGTGTAATAAATGTAGAAATAAAGCAAAAATTAAGTTGCATGCAGCATTTTGAAAAAATATCAAAACTTAAAAATAATTTTTTTTAATTACAATTCAATTTTAAAAAACTGAATTGGAAAGAGCCAGAAATTTTTTTCAAAGATATTTCATATAATTGTGGTAAGATATACATGCATGCAAAGTCTCATAGCTCTATGCCAATAATTTTTAAAAAAATATTTGAACCTCCAGCATTCCCTTAATATCAAGACAGAAAATACTTCTCAACTTCAAAGCATAAATTACTTCAAAGTATAATTATATTTCAAAATCGAAACTAATTTTAATATTCATCAAAGACAAGCATAGATTAAATTAAAGGAATTTTTAGTGGGATTTAATGAAGATTACAGAAGAAACAAAAATATGAAGACAAATGAAATTACCTTATTTCATTTTGCTAAAAGTTGTTTTTTTTATTTATTTATTTATTTATTATATTTAAGGATTTTCACATTATATTAACCATATTTGAATAGAAAATTTGCATTTTAGTTGTAAGATTATAATTTTAAAATAATGAGTATACAACAAAGTTCTAATTATGTAAATAATTGCTTAATTTTGATACACCTTTTTAACAGCAGAAAAACATTTATGACAGACCTTTAAAAAATATATAAATAGTATAAATTACCTCAGCTGTACCTCCTTCTCTGATTATGCCTAAATCTTGACCCTCATATTCTCTCCTGATAGCTAAAACCCTGCCACGTGGAACTCTTCGAACTATAAATTCAACCTATGAAGAAAAAATATGTAAAATACTGAATTCACTTCTTGTGAATTGGATAACTCTAACTTATTAGTTAATAATTCCAAAACTGGTCACATCAAATCTATTTAGCTATTATGATCTTTAATTTTAACATGATAAAAACTGATGATACTTTATTCTTTTGAAGTACATGTATAATTTATTTCATATAAGTGACTACTTACATCAACTTTATTAATAAACTTTACTAAAATGAAAGCAATTTTATACTGTAAAATTACAAACTATAATTCCAAATATAATAAAATACATATATGTGAAGATCAATTAAAAATAAATGCTGATAAATGAATAAACATATGTTTTATCTATAATGCCCTTTTACTCTTGCATGGTGTTAAGAACTCCGAAATACATTTTTGTAATCTTGTTTTACTTAATATGCACATAACAGAATTTTGTAACTGTACAAATTAATTTTTGGTTTTGGACAATTTATGAGCAAAAATTTTAATTGATAAAATATATAAAATGACATTTTGATTATTTTTTGTTGACTTTTTAAGCCTGTAACAATACTTACAATTGATGGCTGATGTTCTTGCAGAAAACATTATGAATATTTTCCGTTTAGAAAACATGTAAACCAAAAGCATCATTAACAGAACAGAATCAGTATTCTTCTCTCTTCGGGCTTTATTTTCTTGATTTCATTATCCCTAAATACAGCATCTTAATTATATTCTATGTCTTTTCACTTACATAATTTGGGAGGAAAAAATATATTCTAATATTCTACTTTTTAACTTGGCAAAGAACAACAGTTAATGCCTTTTAAGGTTATTTCTTTCCAAAAATAAAGCCTAATAGTTTTTCTCCAAACTATCTTTAACATTTCCTTCTAAAAGGGATTTCATAACCAAAGCAAATTTCACTGATATGCATTAACTGCAACGATCTAACAGAACAAGACAAAAAGCACACATATAAATACTATATTAGGATAAGTAACAGAAAGGAAATTAAAAAGAAATTTGAAACAAAAAGAGAGAGGAAAGGAGCAAAAATTATATCTGCTTGTTCATTCAGGTCATTAAAACAGGAATAATACAATAGAATAATTTCATATGTTGTATGCTGTTGTCCTATCAAACCCAAAGTAATAAATTAAAAAAAAAATATAAAAAATAACAGCAAAACTTTGACAAAACTAACAGCAAAATGTTTGAGAAATAATTTTTTGATTTCAGGGTAACTAAAAGAACTACCCTGAAATCGAAAATTTATTTCTCAAACAGAAAATAATCCACAAAGAAATGTAAAATAAGAAAGTAATTAAAAAAAAAAAAAAAGAAACTGCTGTTTGTGTACAAGTAAAAACTACTGGGGAAAAAGTTAGGAGACCAAAAAAAAAAAAAAAAAAAAAAAAAAAAAAAAAAAAATCATTGTAAAGAATTTAGACATTCATAAACTCTTGCTTAAATAACCAAAAATAGAATCATCTGGAATTTTCTGCAGGTTTTTTTTTTTTTTTTAATAATGAATACAAATGAACAAGCACAAAAACAAACGAAACTTTTATTAATATAAGCACCATATTTTCTTCCAACCTTTTACTCTCTCTCCAGCAGCTGGAAAATTCCTTTTTTAGAAAAGGCACTAGGATTTATTTGTAAAGAAGTTATTGTGGTGCTGTTCAGCAATCTCCAAAGAAATTAACTCGAGGCCATACAGAGAATTTTAAAGTGATGTAAAGAGATGAAAATCTTAGGTGGCAACATCTCATGAATATAGGTGATGATTAAAAACACCCCAACATTTACTCAACAAGTCTGTCCGACATTTATCAAAATATGAGGCAGAACATGGTCATGTTGGAAGACAATACATCAATTACTGATCAGTTCTAGGCACTTTGCCTTGATTTCTGCTTTTAAAACTGCTATTTTGGGAAAATCATTTTTCTGAATTTACTGTCTGATCTGGTAACAATTCATAGCATACAAGTGTCACAATACACAAAGAATTACTTTTCAGGGTTGATGTCATCAAAAGTCTTCAAATTTGCCCAATGATCCTTTTCTCATGCTATTGTATTATATCTACTTTTCATCTCCATAATGAGCTGTTTAAAAAAAGAACTAATTTGTTTTCAATAATGCACAAATAATAGTTCAAATGTTCAGTTATGGTTAAACCACAACAAGTGTATTATTCAGTGAATTTAGATTCTGTAATTTAGTAACTTCTGTATGACTTTCTGAATGGATAGATGGGCAGATAGACAGACAGATTAAACAAAATGAAAAACTACTTTTAAGATTATTTCTACTGGCCTTTTTCAGCCTGTAACAATACTTACAATTGATGGCTGATGTTTTATTGCTTTATGAGCATCTTGCACAGAGAGTATTCTATGACCAGCTATACTTATTATACGATCCCCTACATGAAATGTATTATGAAGCAAAGGATGTTCTTTCTGTTTCCAACCAGCTACCCTAAAAATAATATATATGTGGAATAATAATTAGAGTATAGGAAACAATGTATAATACACTAAACAAGAAAATAAATAAAAAGAGAAACAATGCTTTTCAGTAACCACTTCTAATAAGTTTTCAAAATTATAAGGTAACAGAATTCTGGCTATATAAAACAATCCATCCTTTCAAAAGATAATACTCCTTATCTTTGCTGTAAACTCTGCTATAACTGAATGCTCTTTACACAAAACTGAACATTAATATGAAGTAATTTCTGTACTAAAATCAGAAATGGATATTAAAAATTCACTCAAGAAGTGAATTCAAACTGATGCAAGTATTGTCAATGCAGAAAAAGCAGAGGAAATTCCAAACTGGTTTTTATAATATGGCAGATGTTATAGATAAATACAATTAATCAGTTCAATTTTGAAATTATCTTCAAATACATCTTCTAGAAATTAGTATGTGTTTCAATTGAGAAGCTACAAAATTAACGTTTTTTATACTAAATTAGCAAATCGCATTAAATCTTGTATATATATATATGCATGCATATTAGAAGATAAATTTTAGTAAGCTCGCCAAAATGTTACCAAAAACTGTGGCTCCGAGAAAACTCCAACATAAGCATATTTAGTTGCTATGAAAAGTGTGAAAGAGGAGAAAAATATTTGAATATTTACAAGTTAATATGCTAAACAAATTAGGAAATTTTAACACAGTAAAAAAACAAATCAATTGAATGAGGTAAAATAATAGGCTATATGCCAAATACAAAGTAAATTACAAAACACAGTAAAATACTAATCAATTGATCAAGGTCAAATACAAAAATTATAATAAAATTAAGAAGCGGAAAATGGTTAATTAGCCCAGTTTGAAGTTCGTTTTGGCTTTTCAAGGGAATTTTTTTTTAAATGAACTTCGAACCAAGCTAACTCTATTACGCGTTTCGCCAAAACAGACAACTGAAACTTTGCGCGACAAATTTTTAATGAATTAAATAAACTATGTCTAAAAAACTTTAGTCTCAATTCTCTGCTCCAATTTCCCGACGTATCCGCATATATTGACACATTAAGATGTAAAAAATGGAAAGGCAATTCCGATGTACAGAAAAAATAAATAAATAAATAGCGGTATGCCATTAGTCAAAATATACAAGAACTTATGGGTTGGACCTGCGAGCTTAAAGAATTAAAACTTTGCAAAGGAACCGTAAATTATATTTAAATCAAAAAGGAAAAAATAACAAACAAGACAAGAAGTATGGGTCTTGCCAAGACCTATAAAAACTTTTAGAGAAAAAATTATAAAAATCAGACCTAGAACAATGCTGTCTTCTCAGTTGATGAGGAACCTCAAAAAGGGCTTGCACATCCCCTTGTGCATCCAATGCCCTCCAACTTGTCGTATGACGTAGAAAGGGGGAAAACAATGTCACTGGGCAATAGCCAATGTCAAGTGACTGTCCGTTGGTGGCAACCTGACTCATAGAAAAAAGGGGGTTGAAAGATGTGGAAAAGTTCAAAATGGCGTCTTGTCATAGTAGTTTGAGGAAAAAGGACTGGGTAAAAGTGAAAATGGCTGATTCAGCAAAAAAATACCTAAAATGGCCTCTCAGTAAGAGAAATAATGAAAAAATAGTAATTTGTTAATTAAAGTCGTAATTCTTCAAGCTAGAGGGCTATCAAGCTGCCAGAAACGAAAAGGCATGTTTGTTAATAATAGAATAGAATTGGCCATCAAAGTAATTTTTATATACATATAAACAAAACTAGAACTAATATAATTAAGATATTATTATTTTGACGTCTAATTTAATAAAAGTACGACTATTTAAGTATCCTGCACTTAAGCTGCAAAGATTTAAATACACATAATCAAATGAATGAAATGGGGATACTCCTACCAAAAATGCCAACTAAGTATAAACTAAAAATACAGTTTGAATCCTACATTAATTCCAATCAACTAAGTCATAATTAGAAAATAAAGAAACAAAAAATTAAAAGTAGAAATAAATTTTATAAAAACCAAAAGGTAAAATAAAATTACAAAAGAATTTTTAAATATTGTAAAAGAAAAACGAATAAAGAAAGTTTGTCTTTCAAGCACTGGCTAATAGTTGTGGAAAAGCAAATTCAATTGAGATGCAAATTAAATGAAAATTTTAGTAATATTACAGAAAAATGATTGGAAAATGGACAAGTGAAAAGATAGTGAAATAATGCTGACTCATCAGAGAAAATTAGCTTACTTCACCCTCTTTCCGACTGCTCAGACGATGTGTAAGTATAGAAACTTTTAAATTACATATGCATGACAAAGACAAAATACGATGTAAGCAGTTGGAAAAAAGGTGAAGTAATCTAATTCCCATTGATAAGTCAGCATTATTTTGCTATCTTTTCAGTTGTTCACTTTCCCATCATTTTTCTGCAATATTGCTAAAATTTTCATTTAATTTTTGCACCTCGATTGAATTTGCTTTTCCACAACTATTAGCTAGCGCTGAAAGACAGACTTTCTTTATTCCTCTTTCTTTTACAATATTTAAGAATTCTTTTCAAAAATTTTTTTTCTAATTTTTTTTTTACGTTTTAGGTTTTACAAAATTTTATTTCTATTTTTAATTTTTATTTTCTTTATTTTCTAATTATGACTTAGTTGACTGGAATTAATGTAGACTTCAAATGGTATTCCTAGTTTTAATTCAATTGCCATTTTTTATAGGAGTATTCTCATTTCCTTCATTTGATTATATGTAATATACACCCACAAACTAAAGTGCAAAACAAAACTGGCACAGATGACTGTACATTACACAGGTATGCATAACTGGCTGAGCTCGCCAGTACATATTGACATCTTTAGAAGTTTTTAAAGTTATTCTCATTTCTAAAATGACAAGTTTTTACATTTTAAGTGATTTTAATTTGCTATATAAGAGCCTAAACCTTGAGATGGATTACAGCATTTTCATAGTGCAGGCAAAGTTTGGATTTTCATATATGGTTACTTTCAATAATATACTATGGCTCCAAAAATTTTGGCAATTTTTTTACAGCAACAGTAGAGCTCTAAAAAAGCTCTAGATGAACATGATCAGCATCAACCAGCAAGCAGGATTCATTTCATAAGATTGGTAAAACACTGCCTCATGTAATAACAGAATTCAATGCTGGAGCATCAATAAACGTGACTTTAAATATTACGAAACAATTCCTTCATTATTATCCTAAGATCCAACACATAAATCAGACTACCTCTGATAAAGAGCTTAAATTTTATATCTAACACATAAAAGAGCACAATACAGAATACTGTAGCTTGCCTCAACTCAACAATCCTGATTTCTAACACTTAATATGACTAGAAACCACTAGTTTGGTTTGACCAAATTTCTAAAGTTCAAAGTTTCTACAGTTTAAAGTAAAGTATTCTAAGAATGTAGACACCATTAATACATAGATCCTCATGCCAAAATGAAGACTATACCAGCTGCAGCAGTTCTACTACGTTACATGACTTGTTTAGTTGGTATTCAATGGTATCTACAAATGTCTGAGAAAAATACTATATTTATATCCTTTTTGACTCATTCATGCGCTACATTTTTTCTGAAGTTTTTAGTCTCTTTTAAGAGGTCAATATACAGCCAAGCATGACTATAGATTCCAAATTATCTTATAAAAATATACATCTGTGTTTGAAGTCTTGTCATTACCACTAGATCAATGTATCAAACATAACTGAAATGCAATGTAATGCACTATGGAACACATACCTTGGATATCTTACACTTTCAGATACAAAAATTATGAATAACACAGCAATGAATATCATGTTTATTGTCTACACAATACTTCTGCATATCCATGCAATTCTATTTTTCTGCATTTCTACACCCTGTTGAAGGACTTACTAGATATTAACCTGGTATAGTAGTCATTCTACCAGTTTAGAGTAAATGCATGCACACTGTTATCCAATTTCTCTCATAAAAACATTTTAACAATAGCTTTACTTACATACTTACCAAACTGAATTAAAGCATTCAACTAGAGCAATAGCGTTAACACAATCCTTTTTCCGTAATACAAGCCTTACACCACTTTTATGAAATATTTCTGATTGCAACTTTTGGACTTGAACTTCTCGCAATGAAAGCGGTTTTCCATTCTCATCAACAGGTATTGCAGTATTATTTAGGGAACCATTATGCTGGAAAACAAATAAAAAAAAGTGTTGTTATAAATCAATTTAAGTTTTGCATGTTATTTTACAATAAATAAATGTTACTTCTCTATTAAAGCCATGCAATGCATTTTTGTTGCCAAACTGGCCCATCTGGGCTCCTTGCTTTCCTTGAGCCTTTGGCTTGATATTACTGATATTAGACAAAACAGAATGATTGAGAAAAGCAATAAGAAAATATTCTCTATTTCACAAACTGTTCAAAAGTCCGCTGTGATGGAATAATGTAACCTACTTATTTTTTCTTTCTATAAATATGCTTTCATAAATTTAACTTTATAGCATTCAGTCAATTTAACATTAAGACATAATAACAAGGATTTGACACATAATTTCTCGAGTAATTTTTCCAATAAACCAACGTGATCTAATTTCTTTGATGCAAGTTTTGTTTCACAAACTTGCAATATTTTCTGATACCAAAGTAAATTAGTCATATGGCAAGTAATGAAAGGAATGTGTAATCTAGCAAACTATGCTTGTGTTCAGTCACCTTTTCTTCTCAGCATGAACAAATATTGCTCAGCCATTCCAACTTCAAGACCTACTTAATTTCATGATGCAGCTATTCAAATGCAACCTTTGTTTGTGAAGAACTTCTTTCTTATCCATCCGTTGGAAAATCCAAAATAGTGAAATACAATGCATTCAAACAAACTGGCTGGCTGAAAACCACGAGTGCATGAGCAATGATTATGAAAACAATTATCACCAGGAAAAAGATCAAACCAAAATTAATGATAACTGGCAGAAAGAAGATATGCTAACCCCCCCCCAAAAAAAGCACCAAGTGCTATAGCCTTAATGGAAAAATAACAGATAATCAACTTCATTATAATGTTTAGAATAAATTAATTCTGTACTTATATTAATAAACAATTTTTCCGTACAATCCAACACCTTCACTTTCATTTAAATGTATACATATGTAAATACAATGCACTACAATTTGTAAACACAATACTTTAATTTGTAAGTAACTGAAATAAAATATTTACATTAAGGTTTTGTTTAGTTTAAACTACAGTAAAGCACTTGATGGTTATCTGCCTAAGAAGAGGGATGCCTTTGTAGACGACTTTTTAAGGGACATTCTTTTGTATACGTATTAGACATGGCAAAAACCACAAAAAGGGCCATTCAGCCAGCCAGTTCACTGGGATTCTAACCCTGGTCCAAACTCTCAGTGTTTAGTAACTTTACCAATTGGTTGCTGGTGGTCCTACTTACATCAAGGAATATTCAAAATGTTTAATATTCCTTTTAAATATGTTCGTTAATTTTTATTATGACGCATCAGCATATAAACATGATATTTGTCTGAAACAAAATATCACCAACTCCACACCAGCGACATAAAGCTACTGAAATCATAGTATTGATAAAATATGTTTTAACATTTGGCATAGGCCTTTTTTTTTTTTTTTTTTTTTTGGAGTAAAATAAAATTATTATTTCTACAAAATATTTCTCAGACAGAATCACTTTAAAGGATGTGCTCTTTTAAAATAATGTCAAATATTGAAAATAGCACAAATGAATGTAAGTGAAAATGAAACCAAAAAACACATATTTGTTGTGTAGTGGCCAATAAAAGAACAACAATGTATGATACAAAAATGCACAGGCTGACTCAACATCTTCAATTAAAAAATTTTAAGTATACCAGTAAAACTTTAATACATAGTTACATCTGCATAGAAAAGCTTTAAGGTAATGGGAAATAATGTTAATAAAGTAAATAAAGAATATTAACATAACTCTGTATAATTCAGTCAAAAGTCGTTAATCTGGACTCGTCAGGACTTCGGCGATTCCGGATTATCAATTTTTCCGATAGATCATCAGTTTAAATCTGGTAAGATGGCATGCAGAAATTATAAAATTAAAAATATGAAACTGTAATTTATGAAATAAAGAACAATTATGATCTAAAGGGTATCAAAATTTACAAAAAAAAAAAAGCTTAATATTTATTTGTTTACTATATTAAACATTTCTTTCAATGTAAGTTGTTTAAGTTGCTTCTATTTTACGTGATAATACATTCTCTTTAATTCTATAAACAGACATAATTTCTTGTTCAGTTACAAAGTTCCGCTGTTCAAGTCCTGTAATTGCTGTGTTGAAAATACCAACTAATTTGACAATCGAAATTTTTTCATTTTCAATAACCTCTGTCACTTTCTTCGCTATCGGAAGCTAATTATAATGACGAGGAATTTGATTTAAATCATATCAAAGACGGAAGTACATCGAGATGAAATACTACATTTAGTAAGGAATTATAAGCCAAATAAAATAAAAACATCTGCCACAAAGATAAGGATAGTGCTGACAGATCAACTTCCAATTCATTGCGCACCGCTGTGTTAAAGAAAAACAAAGTTTAGATAAACAAACGCTAAAGTTTAGATAAACAAAGGATATGCCTTTATCCATTTTTTGCAGCAATTCCACTTTTTGTTTAATAGACTTCGAAACATACTTTCGCTTTTTAGATCCTTTACTATTAGTAAATATATATCAGAAATTCTATTTGACATAATCGAAAGTTCAAGCTTACTTTTATGAAATTGCTCTAACAGTCTGCAAAAAATATAAGCCGAATCCAATTCGAAGATTAAGGAACAACGCAATCTGCAACATTAACTGAATTAGATAATTTTTAGCTTAGCTTATACCGTCCGTTATACATTAAACGCACATTCGTAAATGTATTTTGCGCACACGCATATTTGCAGCCATAAAGGTCTTACGCGCATGCGTCAACGTGACGCATGTGCAAAAAGTTTGTAGCTTTGAGGTCCGGATTATAGATCATTCTGGATTATGGGTGTCTGAATTATTACTTTTGACTGTATTAACATAATTCTGTAAGTTGTAAGTAAAGAATATTAACCCGTGAAGACGCGCGCTACTTTTCGATATGCGAGGACGCGCGTCGGGCTCCATAGGCTCGAAGCGTTTTTCTTAACAAAACAAAAATAAAATTGCTTGTGTAATTGAAGAAAAACATTTAAATAATAAAAACATAGTGTATAAAACATAAATATATACTTTTAATTTAATAAATCTAATAAAATTGTATTTTAAAACAGTTTTAAGACTGAAATTATTTATCATTAACTACAAAAATTAAACTGATTTCTTTTTGAGCGCAAATGAAATTTACTAGTAATTTATGGATCATTAAATTTTTACAGTAATAATTTCAAAATAAAACTTGCATTTCACTTTTTTTTTTTTTTTTTTTCCAAATAATCTTGCTGTGTTTACCATGAACATTTTTCTTGCGTATAGTGCAGCAAATTTGTGATTTTCGGTCTGTTATGCCAAGACTGTAAACTTTTTTGCAATTTTCAACGAACTTTTCAAAGGCAATATCTTATCGGAGCCAATTTATTTATTTCCCTTCTAGAAAAGTGATCTCTTACGTCATCAAATCTCAAACATCTCATAAGAAATAAAAAAAACGTTTGCTAGACATTGTTTGATGAAAAATGTCAAGCACTGTTCCGCCAGTCACCCAAAGGTCAAGAACATTTATATGTGAGAAACCTTGTGGAGTCTCAAAATAAAGAAGACTGATAAATGCTCTGATTTCTGTAACATTTGTCGATCGAGCATCTCTCTATCTTTGAAATTTTATGGCAATTGATTCGATATAAATGTTTGCACAATCTACTAGAATTTTTACTATTATTTTATCCATTAGCAGTTGCCAAGAATTCATAGGAGGAGGACACAAATTTTGCTTCACAAACATTTCCGAGCAATTTTCTCACAATGTTGTGAGCAAGAGTTCTCACAGCAAGTCTTGGTTCTTTTTTATTCCATTTTGTCACATTATATTTGCCAAGATAACAATTCGCTGATGGACACAAAATTACTCAATTCATTACTAGATTTATCGCTTGATTGCCTCTTCAGAATTCGATTGTGATCACTAAACTGTTCTTCACCAACTATTTTTTCGTCCTCTTCATTAATTGTATCTTCATCAGTCGACACTTCGGATAATAGCTTCTGTAGTCTTTTCTTTGTGTTCATTTCATCATCATAGCTCAAATAGCAAAACCTTTTTGCAACTGTCTGATCTCTTTCTCAATTTTAAATGACAATGTGAGGACGCGCCTCGGGCTTGGGAAGCCCGGTTACTCAGTTTCTGATAAAAGACGAAGGGTTAAATTCCGGAAATGCTTGTGAATGACAAGCACATGACCTTAAACGCAGCTACTGAGAAGGTCGAAAAATTTCACCAAAAGGAGAAATTTTTGTACTACGTTTTTGTAACGACCGGGCCTTACAGGCCCGACGTGCGTTCTCACGGGTTCTAATTAATATCAATAAAGTAAATAAAGAATATTAACATAATTCTGTACATTGCTTTTTATCGCTTTTGAAACAAATATTACGCATAAAGAATATCAAAAAGAAACCATATGTATATATGTTATAAGGAAGTAACAAAAGCTTATAATAAAGCTGAAATTATTATGCCAGAAATGTTAAGATTGTAAGAAATGCATATTTATTTGTAGGCACTTCGGCAACAACTTTGCCTAAGTTTAGCAACATTTTACATACAAATAAATATATAAATAACAATTACTAAAAATTATTTACTACATACATATTTCACACTTCATTTATATTATTATCCTGAAAAATAAATCAATAAACTTATTTGTTGGTAGTTGTTACTTTTGTTTTTATAGGAATTTCATGTCAATCATATTAAAAACAGATTCATAGCAGAAGTTTCCTTCAGTTCCGTGTAAAATACTCTATTCCTCTGGAAATTTTTAGTGCAGCAAAACTCTTCAAGCTCATATTTTAAAATTGAGTATAAGGCAAAAAATAAGATAATTTGACTATGAAACCACCTGAAATCGGAATATATCTGGCATTCAACTAACCAGAAAGCTCAAGTAACCAGAATATTTAGGAATTTTAGAAAAAAATCTTCCCCTGAAAAATTTAGTTAATGAGAAATTTGTAAATGCAGTTATAGTGCTCATAATATTATTAACACATACACACTGTCTGCAAACATGTGATGTAGCACAAATAATGGATAAGTATGATGTCACAACATAATCACGGGAATTTCATTTTGGTTTAATATATTTTCGATTAATTTTTGATTACTCAAATTAGTTTTTGAAAACAAGGATACAAGTTAAATTTCTTCTTTACATTTTGAAAAAATTATTAATATTTGGGACTACATGAAATGGGGTATTTTCAAAGTTACAGAATCTAAGGATAAAATAAAAAGCCACAAAAGACGACTTGAAAATGGATAAAAAGTGGTGGTGCAACATGAAAAATGATGATAAGTGATTAAGTATTTTTGTATGTTGCATCCATAATGTGTATCTTTTTATTATCTAATTAAATAAAGAACAATCTATTAAACTTCTAGTAGAATGAATTGTCACATCTTCAACTTTCATGTTTAATGGAATTTTATAATATTCAAAAGCCAGCTTTTATAACTGAAATGTCACCTCTCCCTTTTTTAAAAAAAAAAACTTACATACTTGGCAAAGTGAACATTTTTCCCATTGATTTGGCATCTATAACATGAATTCTGTTTTTTTATATGCTGAACTATCTGGAATTTTCATGTATTTGGAGTTCACCATTTCCCAAGCTTTTACTGTACAATAAGTAAATGAAAGCTTGTTAAAACTGAATTTTCATGCACATTTGCCAGAATTTAATTGTTTTGAACATCTGAAACTTCTATATAGATAGCTGTGCTAATATTTAAAAACTCTCTTTTAAAAGAAGTAGGAAAATGAGTTCCTAATTAACACACACTTCAAAATTTAAAATTATGTTTAAATACTATATACAAAATTTTAATACTACATATTTATTTTTTTATTTAAGGTATAAGAGTCATGAAATCATACAATTAAATAGCACTCAATCAAATGTATTAATTAATAAATAACTACTTATTGGAGAAAAAATTTGTCGAGAAGAAAAAGTCAGAAAAAGAGTTCAAATTCTAAATAAATTTAACATATTTTTAACAATTCAGATACTAACAAATTAGTTACAAAGAATTTCATTCTAACATCAATCTAAATCTTTTACTAGCAAAAAAAGAATTATGAAAACAGCAATTCATTTTCTTAAAAAATTGTTCCTGCACCTACTTCCCAAATTTATTGAGTAAAGCAACTGCTATTTCAGCTAGATAATATAAAATAAGCTTAATATAAAATTATGATTTAATGTTCTTCTTCCTCCTGTACTGAAAAATAGCCTTAGGAACTTTACTATACAAATATTAAGTCTGCAAATATTCATCGAGTCACAAACAAAAGGAAATTTCTGCAAGCTGACAGTTCTCTATCCCTCAACAGTACTTTTATGCATTTAAGAAGATTGCAAGTTTAACATTTATCTACAATGTCTTAAATAATTTAACCTCACTTATAAGTGTAGTAAACTACTTTCAGGAAGATTGATGACAACTTGAAAGCAATGAATTATAACAACTTAATAAAATCCTCATTTAAGTATCCTTATCTAACATTGAACAAATGAATACATAACAGTTTTTTTTTCTGTTTTTTTTTTTCTTTTTTTCTGTTAATTAGATAAATGTATATAAAAATCTAATAACTCTGCCTTATAATTTAGCTAAAACATTGGAAAGGGGAGATTTATCAAAAAAGCTAGCAAAAATTAATTTTTAATTTCATAACCAGTTATTTAAATTAAAAAAATGAGAAATACAACCTGCATATTACGTAATTGTGGCAATGCTCCATTATAAGGAGGTGGTCCTTCTTCTGAAGGTAAGTGACGACTATTCTCAGGAATATTTCGAACATGTTCTAGATGGGCTTGTATCCTCAGTAATCCAGTTGGTGAGGATGTTATCTGAGAAGATTGAACAGGATTAATGGAAGATCCAATCTGAGAAGATGCATGCAAAGATGGATCAGAAGTTGATGTCAAAGTATTTAAATTGCTAGTCCTGGTAGTTGAATGCACATTTTGAATATCACTGGCAACAGATGTAGACATTCTACGTTGATCATTACTAGGTCTTGGGGGCAAGGCTGGAGTTGGAGTTGATGTACCTCGTCTCTGAGGAGGAGGCGGATTTTCATAATTCGGATTCCGAATACTTATACTTATGTTTGAGGAAGGAGAATAAAATAAAGGTTCATACAATGAAGTCTGATCTGACAAGGGTGTATTTGGAACTGAGGATACTCTCTGTTCTGTTGAAGTATGAAGGGGTGATGGAATAGGAGAAGAACTCTCTTCAGATGCTAAACTGTTACTTCGAGATATAGTACGTGGATTTTGCTCTAATCCCTGCAATACATCAAAATTAAAGACACTTTCTGGCACAGACTGCAAAGATGAAGATGCTGTTTCTATGTGTAGAATTGAAGGATGCTGTTCTGAACCAGATGATGGACTAACTACAGTTGAGGGACTACAGTATTGTGTCGAGGCTCGAAGATTGGGTGGATTCCTAATGTATACAACTGCTGAATTAGAACTTTCAGATGATACAGAGGTACTTCCAGGAACAGGTGGTAATGGAGAATTAGGATCTCTAAGAGACAAGCGACTGAAATCTTTAAAAAAAAAAATTGAAATTGCATCATTAGACTAAGTACAAACCATGCAATTGCAAATTAAATTTAACAAACTTAAAAAAAAAAAAAAAAAAAAAATGTTTCAAGTATAATGTATATTTAAAATCTGGCAACAATTTTGCACAGTTGTACAGTTTACAGATTTTAAATACCAAAGATCTAACGAATAATCTAACATTCATACAGATCATATTTTACAATTACTAATATCATAACTGAAAATATAATATTTGTGCATATTAGATTTGAAAAAAAAAAGTCTACACTATAATCTAAAATTTTTAAGCAAACTTTAGAGGACAAAAATGAATACAGTAATTATTCGAATACCTTCACGAGCTTGGAAGTCAAAAGATGTATTTTCTGAAGCAGAAGACACTGATCTCACTGAAGTAATGGGTTCCTTGCTATATAAATTGTCTTTAGGCTGAATCAATATGAAAAACTTATTACACATGGAATTTCATTTTACTTTAAATGAACAAATAATACTTAAATAACTTATAAAATCAGGAATAATAAAATTTTTCAAAAACTTCCAATCTGATATCAAAAATGCTTGTTAATGTTAATTACAAAATACCAAAACCATATAATAGGTATATTTTGAAAACAACACAATAACAAAAATCCGAATTACTACATGCATGTTGTACCTTAATGTTATGCTTAACTGTAATTTATAAACTCGGGGGGGGGGGGCACATAAATGACTTTTAATGTTAGTAAATTTTTATTAAAATCAGATATTTTTGATTTTTTTTAACATTAACGGATTTAAAATTATATTCCAAGCATAGACAATTTTCATAGTAATTAACCTGTAGTTAGATGATATTATATAAACATATTAAATATTTTTATACATAAATTGATTTAATAAATAGATTATAGATAATTTTATTACTTAGTAGCATAAAATACAATGAATTTTGGCATAAGTAACTTTTCTTTCTTTCCACCAACAGCGAGGCAGCCGGTCCACTGGGTAGTTAGCATATCGGCCAGGTAGTCCCGCTGACTGAAATAACTTGATCAACATTACACACACATAAAAAAAAAGGATAACATCTATGCAACTAAATTGTTCTACAAAGAAATTAATTCAGGCAGAACTACAGGCATTAAGTAGTTTTGTCTTTAGCCAACAAAAAGCCTAATACATGCCTACATATTAGATGGTTTTACTGTGCTATAATCTGAGATTTGTATAATATTAGTTATGCTGTTTTTTTAATATAATATTCTGTTTGATACTGTACTCACATAATTGCTTTGCATGTACAGTACAGGATGATTTAAAAAATCACAAGTAAAAAATACAGCATATTTAGCACAACATAATTATATTTTTTTTTTAAATTGCAACAAGTTTAAATATTATTTAGGATAAACACTAAAACAAAAGTATATATGAAATTACTCCATGAAGATTAAAGCAAAACAAACTACATTTCAGTCAGCTTCTAGAGCCCTAACTATGTAATATTATTTCAAAGTCCTTCAGACCATATTAGACAGCCAAGCAACTTATCACTGCATCTGACAATGTATGACAAAGTCTTATGAAGGTTTAAATACACTTTTTTTTTTTTTTTTTCATTAAAGCTTGAACTTAAAAAGAAGGCACAATTTAAGCCTGCAATCAAAACACTGTTACTTGTGAGTATTAAAACAATATGAAGTTGAAAATACAATTTAAAAATGATCACAGGTGGAGACAACACAAATTTGGCTTAAGTTAGCCCAAAGCATTAATGGAACATTTTACCTTCAACTAGATAATGGCTAATGCTGGATTATTAACTCGCAAAGCTGGTGATAGAAAATAAAGCTACAAGCATAAAAGCTTTATATCAGAAGTTCTCAACCAGGAGGGAATTTCCCCATGAGGGGGATTTTATAGTTTCAGAGAGGGAATGCAGTCAAACTGTTATTTAACTGTTTAGTATTTTCTTTTAATTTATGAATATAAAACAAACTGCTTTTATTTAAGTTTTGATATTTATCAACATTTTCTACACTCTTTGTTGTTTAATTAATAAAGCATGTTAAAAAATAATCTAAACCTAAATAAATGTATATATATTTAGCATGTTAAAAAATAATCTAAACCTAAATAAATGTATATATATTTTTCAGGTTTTAGAAAGAGGGGGATGAACTTCTAACAGTGGTGAAAGGACTGCATAGAGCAGAAAAGGTTGAGATCCCCTACTCTACACCTAAAACAATCAAAAGCCTTGCCTTAATTAGGCATCAATTAAATTTGCATCCTGGTTACCACTAATGAAGGGAGAAGTTCTATATTATAAAAAATTCTTAATTAGCATAAAATACCTTATAAGTTCAGCTTTATTAATATTTTCTAAATAGAAATGATTTTTAAAAGAGAAAAAAAAATCTTTCCTAACAGCTTTGTTAATACATCAAATTAAAATTTATTCACCATACCTACATAAGAGATATAAAACAAATTTCAAGTTATTAAGATTAATTGGATTGATTAAAAAACATTTTTTTACAACAACTGAATTTTAAAAAGCAAGTTTACCTCTAGGATACCAAGTTCTCGAAGTTTTGTGCGCATGGTGTCCATCCACTCCAACATCTGATCACTGAAATAAACACTTATTAAGAGGAACTTATAATAGTTAATTATTTATTACTTAAAATATTTATTTTTTTATTACTTACTTATTTAATGATTACCTATTAAAAGTTCAGAGTGACAGAAATATTTAAAATTTATCAATGAAGTAAGCAATTTTAGCTTACAAATCATCATACACTTTAACCCACATATTAATCAAAAATATTAAAAATTTAAAAATGCATTTTAAAAATGATCTTGTTTTATATATACATGTTGATTTAAAACAATTTTTGTCAGCAGATTTAATATTTTTAGATACATCTTATGCATAATTCTTAGTGTATATAAATCAGCGTTTTATGCACAAAGATTGCACACTGCATGTACTCCTGAAAAGCGAAGTTGATAGATAATGTATAAAAACAATTTTTAAATATTTAATTAAAATGCTTGCAAAATATATGATAAGCTGGTATTTTTTCATATTAAATGTCTTCTGACATAACAGCAACTAACTTAACATACAGTACAAAGTCCAAAATCCAGACATCCAAGATCTGGAATCATCTAATAGCCAAACTTCCAAATCACCAGCCCCAAAACAAATAAATAAATAAGACAATAGAAAAATCCCTACTTTACAAAGGTCTAGGAACAGACACTATAATAACAAAAGGAAGTAGGTGACGTATAAATGTAATCTCCTTTTAACTAGATTTCTGCATATCATTTTTAAACATTGCTAGCTAAGGAGTCTCACTGTTGACAATAATAATGCACTGAACTGATAGTATTGTATTGATATTGGCCAGGATCAAACTTTTGGCCCTTGAGTGGTTGTGGAGCAATGGTCAGGGCCAGCACTCCACATTTTGTCACCTGATACAATCTCTACAGGTCCTAAATTCTACTGATTGGGGACCTACCTAAATTCTGCTGCCCAGTGCTTCTACTAAATTCTAAAAATTCAGGCATCTCCAATTTTTGCTTCTGGGTATTCTAAAAAGTTTTCAGCCCCTAAATTCTGACACCCTGATATAGCTAAACCAGTTACACCTGTTCTGGCTCTATGAGAAGATGGATTAACACTTCTCATTTTATTTGATCTAAACAATAAACAAAGTCAAAATGTTTACATCTACATGTCAACTTACTAGATTTAAATTAATGATTTAAAATCCGGAACAGCCAAAGTTCCAATAATTCTGGATCTCAGACTCCGTACTGTAATAATGATAATTCAATTTAAAACAGATTTCTATATTCATTATATTATAGCAAAATATAATATAATGAATATAGAAATCTGTTATATTATAGCATAACATAATGAATAAAGGATCATTTCTTTGTACAATCTTCAAAAAAATCATTATAAATGAATTGATATAAATGGAATAACACTTACTTTGTTGAAGCTGCTAATCTTACAACTTGTGTTTCAAGTGTGACAACAAACTCATGATCATTTTCTTGAGCTACAATTGTTGGAGATATATGTAAACATTTTGATAATGAAATATTTGAAAGAGGCATATGTGAATATGCACTTCGCCTGTTTTCATAAAATTCAAGAAATGCTTCTTTATCATCATGAACGCAGAATACAACCCAAAACTTCTCTGGTTTTTGTGCCTAGAGCAAAGCATAAAACAAGATAAGAATTTCAAATCAATAAGGATATAATTTCAAAAGAAGTGACTCTATTTAACTTAAACATGTCATAGTCATTTCACTCTAATTAAAGATAATTTGAATGAAAAATAGAAACCACTTCATTTATTACATAAAAAATTAATATGCAATTTTATAAAAGTGATTAAGTTAACACCAAGCACATACAAAAACACAGTAAAAAATATATTATCCAACATTAAAAAGAAATGAATAATATTTATCAACCAAATACAAGTACTTTCTAAAAATCTCTTCTCTTTGGCATGTTTGCTTAATCAATTGATTACTGTAAAGCATATAAGACTATCTTCCTGAGAGATTACATGTCTATGTACAGGATTTCCTATTGGAAGTTGTTTCATATTTACATTGTACATAGGTAAAAACCATGAAAGTCACTGCAGCCAGCACATTTACAGCAATTCTTTGCATATGCTTTACACAGAGAAGAGTATGTATTTCAAAAGATAACATTTTTCTAAACAGATTGAAGAGAAAACTTGCAAATTAAAATGCTAAAAATCTAACACTTTGAGGTCATGTATTATTAAAAAATCTTACGTGTTCTGGAATGATAAACAAACTTATGAATAAGTAGGAATAAAAACTTCTTTATTTTTACATCCATCTGCACTATTAGTTGGTTTATAAAGCTTAAAACAATAAATCTCTTATGACATTTGTTTCTTTTATCTGGAACTTCAAAGCACATATTCATTCTACACAAGGTAACCCCCTTTTTGGCTTTCATTTGATGTATTAAGAAATAATACAGTTAATCATGTATTTAAAAAATTTTATAGTAAATACAATATTTTCATTTTAAGGAAACAAATTATTAATTATAAGAAAAAAAGAAGAGGCAAAGTGTGATATTCCATTTTTATAGTTGACTTATTTAAAATAATATGAAACAGTTTAAAAAAATTAATGCTCATACATAAATACTAAGACTGTTAGAGTAAATATTTTAAATGAATCGCTCATCATCAAATTTAAATACTCAATTACATAAACAGATATACTCCTATGTTAAAAAAAATTATGAAAATTACTTGTACGACAGTTCTACTTGAAATGCAAAAGAGGTACTTACATATTTTTACAACCACTTAGCAGAAACAATAAAGTTTTAGAATATACCAAACTCTGGTAACCACATGCATAACAATTATTCAGGTAACCATGCACATGGCAAATATTCAATTTCCAATGTTGCCATTTCTGTATGCATTTATTTTGTTGTATTCTAAGTTCCAAAGGCTTTATAAAAAAGTTATAAATATTTTTTGTCTTGAACTCAATTTTAAAATTTATACTTGTAGGATTTTCTTATAATAGAAGAATGAAAGGTGTAATTTCTGCAGGAGTGCATTATTTTGTCACAAAATCGCTGAAAGAACAATACTTCGAATTCTTTCTCAAAGCAATAGCTATGAAATTTTCATCACAACAAAAACAGAAACCCATTTGTAACTAGATTTACTGATTGCCTTCTAGAATAAATATAGAAACGTACAATATGAACATAATAATATATATGCATGTAGTATATAATTGTTTTACAATAAATGTAACTATTCTTTTTGTTTCACAAAATTCACCAAACTGTGCCAAGGTAGTTGTAATAATACATAAGTACTATAAAAAACTACACTGACTAATATATCTGACTTTTCTCAAAACACTGGAAAAATGTCTTTTTTGACAGCTGTTACAGATTCATTATCTTATCATTTTGGATAGATTTAATTAACAAGAAGAGATAATAGTGGGATCAGAGCATAAGACAAATGAGGTAGCTGAATATAGTAAAGATGTCTTTCTAATAAAAACTTCTTTATTTTAATACCCTTTGTTCAAAATTTGGTGTCATTCCAAATAATTGAAAAATGCTGCAATTCACTTTGCACTACAAATGAACCACAGATTCCCAAATCATATGACTGCATAGATTTCTTCTATTAAAAAGTACATTAACACCTTCAAACAGCCAGATTTAAGCACTGCATATTTACACATGTGAAATTATTTTTTTCACAAACTTTATAACAAAGGTTTATTAACCAGGTTAATATAAAACTATCTCAATATAATTATTACAGGAAAGAAAAATCAGCAAATGAAAAAAATATATATGCAATCATTTAAAGAAGAATTCTTTTTAAAAAATTAAAATGTTACCTAAAAAGTTTGCAATGATTTGGTTTTAGTCGAGTTTTAAAGTGTTTATAAATGATTAAATTTTATTCTAATTATATGATACTTCAAGAGAAATCATTTTAAAATAAAGGCAAGAAAATGTTCATTTATTGAAAATAATACCAAGTAACATTTAAAAAACTGAATTATACCTTTGGAAATCTCCCAGACCAACGATCCGCACAAGGCATTCTTTTCAACCAGCTATTTTTATGGATTTCTCGAATCGCAGGAGAATTCTGAGAACTGTTGCTTTCTGTATTAGTTGGAATATCACTTGTCTGTTCTCTATCAAGTAAAGAAGTGTTATTATTAGAATCTTCCACAATAGTTGCAATGGACTCATTCCCATGTTGTATCTCAATAGCAGCAGTTGGCATGGAACTAGCATTAGAAGTTGGTAACTGAGAATTCTGAGACGTAGCTCCAGTATCTCTGTTCATCTTGATGAAAATCTTTCATCTGAACACTGTAACAGAAAATATAAATTCATATACATAAAAACTTTTTATATATTTATATTTAAAAAATGGTTTTTGCAATGTTAGTTAAATAGAAAGAAATAAAATGGATGCTTTCTGATTATCCACACTCACATTGCCACAACAAATTGCTGATGAGGCAACACACCATGTTGCCAAAAAGTATTTCTATTTCAATTCACAATGCCACTAGAAATATTTATGTGGCAACTCTTGTACATATCTAGCACATATCTATCTTGTACATATCTATCTTGAGTATATGGAGATTAGCACTTTTGAAATTCAGTGTTATTTTCCTGATTAGCATTCCTTTTCACATTGAGTATATTTTTTAAATTATAAAGTTTCTCCTCATATTTTCATTATCTTGGAATGCACATTGAAACTTCGACTGTCCTTTGATGATCATGATCCCAGGAATGGCAAGGTTATGTATGATGCTAATTTGTGCAATTTTTTTATTTTCAAGTGAAAATAGACACTGCGTACATAGGCAGAACAAATGTGCAAAGAAAAAAATTACGGAAGAATTTCTTGAAAAAAAGTATGTGTTCTATTTTTTAATGAATGTAAACTAATGGATGCATTAGAAGCATCATTGAAATAGATGTAACAAATGTTTCTCTCCAAAGCTGACAATGAGTTCATGAATGCCAGTAAGTTTGTGAGATTTTTATGGGGATTAACTTTTTCACAACCAATCTGCCCCACACAGCCCTACATTGAGACAACCAGAACCACCCAAAAATGGCCGAGATTGTAATCTTGTTTTCTTCCCTCCCACTAAGGTATGCAGTATAGCAGGTGCACTTTCCCCAAATACATTATATCAGTTTACTGCAGACAGCTTGTCCTAAGAGGTTTCTTATCTTTTGGTTGCTCCTGATATTTTGTTGTTCATTCTTTTGTGGCACAGTGTGCTTTTAAGCTTTAAACAACAATAAAAGAGCAGTTTAAAAATTTAAGGATTATATTTATTTTAATAATTATTATATCCTCCTATAAAAATAATGGAAAAAAATCTCAGTCGTGATCATAACAAAGCCAGAAAAGCTTGTTGGTCTGACCTTCAGAATAGTTTTATAAAGAATGGGGTCAAAGGCTAATGGAATCTTTGTTAGAAAGTACAAAGGATGTCATTCGAAATCTTCACACCTATTTTCTGCGTTAATGGACGGGGAGGAGAGGAAATTGCTGTGAAAATGGAAAAGTATTTCAGGCGGTTTGGTATTTTGAGGATACAAGCTAGCGAAGGGTCTGGATTTCAAAGAGTTAAGATAAAATGTTCTAATTATAATGGTTTAGAATAAACCAAAAATGAGTACTTTCTGATTATCTTCACCCCTACAGAAAAGCCATGAAAAAGTATTGATGGAGCAATGCACCATATCATCAAAAATATTTATGTGGAAACCCACAAAATCACCAAAATGTATTTATGTTACAACCTAGTGTGCAAGTAACATACACGTGTTTGAAAACACATAGATTTGCACTTATGAAATTCAACAGTAATTTTTATGATTAGTATTTCTTTTTGCATTGAGTAAATTTATTTTTGTGGTAATGAATCATAATGGGACTGAGCAGATTGCCAGCTGATGAAAGGAAAGTATTACATCTATTTCGAAATATGATATTTTGCCTAACAATCCAGTATGCATAAATTCGCATACTGGAAGAAACTGTACTTCTTAGGCCCATATCACATGGCATTTTTTTCACACGAACAACTGTTTCGGACAATTTTTCTACCTGGTTTACTATTGAAAAAAAGATGCGCGACTTTTTCCTTCATTTCCAAAAAAATTGCAGGTTGTTCATTTTTAACCAATCAGCTTCGAATGCTATCAGCTTGTTTGTAATGGGGAACTAGTTTCCCCGGTGTTAACCCCAAAGCGATCTGGGGTGATTGGCTGTTGTGACAAAGCAGAAAAATTGTTCCAAACAGTTGTTCTTCAGAAACAAACCGACGTGTGATAGCAGCCTTAAACGATTGAATTTTGGGGAATTTAATGTGAAAAATTACAAACAAAGTGTTAGAATGAAAAACAGATGTTGATTTGAAGACAGCCGTATCTCATTTACAACAATTGTTCACTTTACGTGTTGTTGGACAAAACATACATCAGTAAAATTCTGTGAAAAAGAGTCAGGATTATCCCTAAATACAGCTATGGAATGGTGTAATTATCTCTGAGTAGGTTATAAATGAATGAAAGGATGGGGGAAAAAATAGGTATCGAATGCAACACTAAAATAAACATTTATATACCCAAATAAAGTTTTCTTTCCAAAGATGGCAATGAGTTAACAAATGTTCTCCAAAGTCACCAACAACTTCACAGCTTTACCATGTTAGTGTAGATAATCATAAGGTACCCCAAAATGTAAAATATAATCCCTCTAAATCTTTAATAAATACAATATTATAACACATATGTGATTAAAATTTTATCTTTATTTAGTCTTAAAAACAAACAACTTTTTGCTATCTATTTTATTTAATGATTTATACAGTTATAAAGAGTGAAGTTGAATAGATTTCCTACAAATTTTAAACAAAAATTAAATAGGGCATCAAGAATCAAAAGTTCATTTATGAAAATACATAAAACATTAATGGTCATTACATATTTCACAGCTATGTCATATAAATTATACACATATCAATGTGTTGCATTAAGAAATTAAATAAAGAAATTCTAGTGTCTTCACATATGTTTACATAAGTTTTATCTTCATTCCTTCTCTTTTTTGTTTTTGGTGTAACTGCACCATGTAAAACCCTAGTAAAACCGACAATAGTGAATCTTTTGGTTCTTCCTTTTCAGAATATCTAAGAACCTTCTTGTGGTAACTCCTTTCCTTGATATCCTAAGCATATGCTTAATTGTTAATCCAGCCCTGTCGTTGAGAAAATAATAAATGATTAACTTGTGATGCAGTTAGATGGTGCTTTTCTTCTGTAATAGTTAGCTTAGTTTGGCTTTGATGAGGAAAGTACGATAGATGCCTTCCAGCCCCTTTAAAACAATTTCCCTTTTCTCAATATTGGCATACCTGTAAAATGCCCTAATATACAAAAAAAGTTTGACAATTTATGATAAAAATCACACCAACTTTCCTATAGCTTCTGCCTCTCAATTTTAATGACAACACAGCCATATTGGTAAATTTAATAATATATTATTAAGGTACATATTTCTCATTTTTAAGCATCTCATTGCACAGAATATAAAACTGCTGCAAAAAAATATATGTCGAACCTACACAAAATTTAAACTGCAACCTAGTTCCAGTATTTTAGAGATAAATAGTAAATTCTATTTGCAGTGTACTGGACCCCTAAATAAGAAGGGCTCACTGGCATGGTAGAAAAAAATTTTTTTTTGTTTCTATCATCCTTTGAAAGAGCGGGTAAAATCCTAGGAGAGCCCCCCTTGGAGACAAACTGGGAAGTGCAGAATCACCCACTGCTCCGCACGTTTCTCAAAATTGCCAACTTGAAAGTAACAAGTCAAAAAATTGCACAAAATCCGTATCCATGTACACATCGATCTATTTTAACTTAAAAAAACATCCCAGAATTGCACAAACTTGGCATTGCACACTTCCTTGACTTTGTCACACATCAATACGCACCATATAAGTGGGCACGCCAAGGGTGTGGGCTCTGCTAGGATCCAACCAAAGAGTGCATTATTCTATATATTCAAAACTTAAGTGCATTATTCTATATATTAAACTTAAATTAAGCATTAGCTTTGCTCCATTATTGCTTAGATTTTTTAGTGAAATAGCGATTCTAGCCAGACCCCCAAATAACACAAGGCAAGGTATGTTATTTTATCATTTAATTATTTATCATTAATTTAATTTGTCAAATTTTTACTTTTATCTTTACATTTTAATAAATTTTAATATGCATTTTCATTATTTATTTTACATTAGTTATTTTATTTTTATTTATTTTTTTTTGCCAACTTATTCTAACTCCCATCCAAGGTCCTTCAGCTTTTTCCGATTTTAAATTATACCTTTACCTACATAACAGGTATTATTCACATTATTGGAAAATCAGATTATAATATAATTAAGAAAAGAAACAAAAGCTAAAATAAAATACATGCAATATATACACACCATTTTCACATGCACAGGCAAATATATTTATTTAGTGAAACCCAGAGCTACACTAACCATTAAGCAAAATAAGCATGTGTTCAAGGCATCAAAAACAAGGCACACTGCAAAAACATGCTCAGGGACTCATGCTCAGGAAAGGGGGCACCACAAAAATTTCCCAATGCCAGTTTCACCATGGAATGTATGGTGCAGTTATGGAGTAAATTTATGTGGAGGCAGCAAAATCTTCTAAGTGCTTAGTGCATCTCAAAGTCTTAATCCAGCTTTGATCAAGCTTGTCAAAAACCTTTAATTATTAAAAAGAGATTCAATTTCAGTTATTATTGCAATATTAAATTTCAGTATTTCAAATTTAAATTAAAGAATATGAGTTAACATACTTCCAAAAGCATTAAAAAGCTCTATATTTCAATCATGAATTTGTAAATACAATAATGTTTATGTATAAAATTCAGAGGAAAATCACATTAAAATTCATTTACAACAAAAGCATTTCAAAACTACATTGCTTTTCTTCCTTAGTTCAATGTATAAACCAATAATATAAACAACTCCTTAACAATTCCCAATACTTTTATGAAATATATAATAATTATACCATATCATAATTATTTAACAGAAAGGAAGATAACATACTTACATCATAGATCAAATAGCGACTGAATTTATGCAATGTATTAATGGTAATCTTGTCTAGCTTGATTAAATATGTACTGCAAAATATAATTAACTCACAATCAAGCTATTAAATATATTACTTTAAAAAAAAATACCTAAGTAGTCAAGCTTATCAGCAAGTATTGCATTTTACATAGAAGCAGTAATATATTATACTAAGAGAGTTAAACCATCTAGTTTTATAAAAAAGTAGCTCAGATCAGGTTTCTTATTTAAAAAACATCATTCCTTTCCCTCTACCTAATATAAAAATATTAATTGACTGAATAAATTACAACTTGCCAGATTAACTACTTTTTTTAATCTTATTTTTATTTTAAAAAACTATTTACTGAACAGGTGAATATGGAAACCAAAAAGGTAAGGTTTTTAAATATTAATAATCTATATTTAATATATTACATTAGTTGTTTTATTGATTTATTTTTTGCCTAACCTTTTTCTAACTGCCCTCCATAGGTCTTCAGCTTTTCCGATTTTAAAAAGTATACCTTTAACCTATCATAACAGGTATTCCGTTCAAATTATTGGAAAAATCAGATGTATAATTATACAAAAAGAGAAAAGAAAAGAAAGAAGAGCTAAAATAAAATACATGCAATATAAACACACCATTTTCACATGCACAGGCAAATATATTTATTTAGTGAAACCCAGAGCTACACTAACCATTAAGCAAGAATAAGCATGTGTTCAGGGTATCAAAGACAGGGCACACTGCAAAAACATGCTCAGGGACTCAGGAAAGGGGCACCACAAAAATTTCCTAATGCCAGTTTCACCATGGAATGTATGATGCAGTTATGGAGCAAATTTATGTGGAGGCAGCAAAATCTTTTAAGTGCTTAGTGCCTCTCAAAGCATATGATTTAATTTCTTATTATTTTAGTTAACACTGTTAAAAAATATATTTACTTTTTATCAACTTACAATTATAAAAGCTATTAGAAGTTTTTCTTAAAAAAGAGACAAATTACTTTGCCTCAGATGCAACAGTTTATGTAAAATATTCAACAGTACATAGAAAGCAAAATACATAAATATTGCCTACTGTATTTAATGATGAATTATAATAATTTTAATTATAAAATTCCATTTAAATATATCATTTTAAAAATTTTTAATCCTGCAGCATTAATATTTAAAACATGCTTGATAATCATTAGCAGTACTTTATATCAGGTCTTCTTAAACTTTTTCAGTCAAGACCCCTTTCTATCACTGAGATTTTTTAATGACCCCATAATATTTACAAAAATTTTGTGGGACCCCATAAGCATTGCGCAAATCCAACACATGCATGAATGAAACTGTCAATTTTTTAACTTGCACTGTAATATATACTATTGCAGTTTTAGGTCATTTACTTTAATTTTACGACAGAGAACAATGTGAAAATTTTAAATAGCTAACAGACAAAATGTTAGCGTCACATGCAAAGCAAGTAAAATGAATGGTTATATTATAAAAAGAATGTGTCAAAACGTTTTATTTATTTATTTACTTTTTTTTTTGTCTGTATTGTCTTATTTTTATCTATTTTCAGATAAATTATGTAAAAATATTTGGTAATTGCAAAATTATTATAATAAGTTACAGAAATATCAAACTCCTAAAATTTTTGGCATCCCCCTGCTGCAGGTCCCACAGTTTAAGAAACTCTGCTGTATATCATAAAGACTTAAAGTTCTATTTAAAAAATTCAACAAAAACAGCATTAAAAAGAAGAAACATAAAAGAACAAACAAAAAAAAATTGTAAAATGTTACAAAACAGTTGTATAACAATTACTAAAATCCCTGTTTATACTTAATCTGCCATACTTGGTGGGGAAAAAATATTTGAAAAATATTCCTCATATGCAATGCTTATTTTTAAATAACTGGTTTGTTTTCGATATAATAAATGTAGTCATTTTGTTCTCAATTTACTAAATAAATGTTTCCTGAATACAAAAATTAATACCTACAACTGACTTTTTCTGACATTAATTGAAATTCTCCGAAAAATGTTTATAACTTAAAGGGAAAAACACCTACTACTATTAATTTCTCGCAACTTTAAAAAAAAAAAAAAAAAAAAAAAAAAATTTAATTAAAACAGCTAACTCTAACATGCGCCTTCTAAAAATTGACTTAATCGGCGACAGACTGACTGCATGTTATAATCCGAAAATTTTTAGAGGTATACTAGAATATTTTTATCTAAAAACTGTCCGATAAATTAGGATAATAATTTATTTTCCGGCGGGTCTTATTAACTGAAAAATACAATGGAAGAAATGATATCTTTACTGTGCTCAAAATATACATAATTATAAAATCATAAAAGAAACTGCACTGTTCCAAAGCTTATCCTTAAGTACAATAATTAATGATTAACGTTTTCTAATAGTAATCTGATGTCGCCTAAATCAATGCATTTACATTCAATAAATAATAAAAATAGAAATAACAATTCATTTTTATGTTACAGATTTATTTTAGAAATTCCAGAATTCGATAAAAATGTCTAAGGTTTATAAACTACGGAATTTTTAAAACATTCCAAACTTATTTACCAGAAATATTACATGTCATTCATCAAATGTCATAATCTGGTAGAACTTGTTTACTTCAGTGCAAAAAATAAAAAAAGAAGAAGCTGTGGAATCCACATTCCCAAAAATATATAGACTTTATAGTAATCTTCATACTGAAAAAAAAGTGTACGTAAATCAAAATTAAAAAATTTTGCTTAAAAGCCTTACATATATTATTTCTACCTACAGAACAGAAACTATTCTGCTTCAGTGACAGAGCAGATGTCTTTTGGCCGCCTACCGTGATTTTTTGTAAATAAACCAATAACTCGCAATCCATACTAATTTTATTTAAAAAAGAAAAAAAAAAAAGTGGGGGAGGAGCAAAGCGACACATTAGATCCCACTGTAAAAGTAATATGTGGGATAGTTAATACATACTTTCATTATATTTCTGAAATAATATTTGTATTTAAATAGCATTTGTTAAAAATGACCATTTAGTCCTGTTTTAAATAAAGGCTAGTATAAGGTTTTGCAAGACAATTCTAAATCATTTTTCATAATCTCTAACTGTAGCAGAGGAACATCTGACGCTTTGATTTGGATTATTTTTGCAAAGCAAGTCCTCTAATTTGTTAGCTGTTTTAGCAAAGCTACTTCGGATCACCTTTCTTTTCTACTTACCAGGAATTAAGATGAAATTTTTTAACAATACCGAAACTTTTAAAATCCTTTCACAGTCAACTTAAATGTCATCTGGAGAAGTGAACTTAAATGTCATCAGGCAGGGATTTCATATATTGCGTGCGTACATAGAAAGATATTATAGAATGATAGATGTCACTTTTTTAGAAAAATATTATAGAGCTATTAAATGCCTTTGGCAACATATACTCCGAGAAGGCACCACGACGCACCGAGAAGATATAAAGCAAATTATACTCTATGCTAATTGATATGCATGCAGGTTTCGGCGGAAAATACAAAATTTTACATTTTGGCTGCCAACGAATAAACGGTTGTCGTTACAACGCATTTGATCTGCGCAACTGGCAGGATATTTAAAAGAAATTGCGATTCTAGGTCATAAATCTCATAAACAGCCCAGAACTATACATCATAATGTTATATGGTAGTTCTGGTATATATTTTGTTATTTTCAACTATTTAATATAGATTTTGTTTCATCTTTATCATCATTTTCATTTTACTATGGACTTTGCCCGGTACCAAGACTGCTGACTTTATCATCATTAAATTCGTATATCACGTGACAGTCTACTTCCGTATGAGTATTAAGACTCCGCCCCAGACGAAAGCAAAAAAAAATTTCTGGGACTTGAATATATTATTTTCCATTTTTACTGTACGATACTGTGTCAAATTTACGATAATGTGTAAAAGATATGCCAAAATTATTAGTTGCTATTATAGCTTATCCAACGAAGACTCCATCTGTGGCCGATATATGGCGTCACCCCTGATCAACTTCTTCACTACTGAAGACTTTGCACTTTCATTACAAGTGTACAGGACTTTTCCAGCTTATGGAATTTAACGAACGTTTACAGATCCTTAGGGGATTGATAAACATGTAGTGGTAAAAGCCCTCGGGTCGAACACTACTTAACGAATGATGATCTCCGATCTCCGTTAGGTCATAAATTCTTCACGAATTTCCTTCCGTGTACTCTGGTAGACAGTAACTATGCCTCACATACAGGTCATATGCGCAGATGTCAGAATTTGATAAATGTCGTATAGTTGCACTCAAAGAAGCCGGTTGGCCTTATCGGAGAATAGCTCCACATTTGAGCAGGAGCAATGCCACTATTAGACGATGTTGGCAGGAGTGGGTGAACCATGGCCGCACACAGCGTCAAGAAGGAAGCGGTAGGCCTAGAGAAACGACAGAGCGTGAAGACCGAGCAATCGTCAGAGCGGCACTCACAGTCCAAAATGCATCATTATCATCGATTGCACGTGCAACTAGTGATTCAGTGACCGCAAGGACCATTCATAGACGGCTCCCAGAAAGGGAGCTGAGGTCATGGCGCCCCTTGCGCCGACTACCATTGACCTCTGTAGAACACCAAGCCCGTTTGCAGTGGTGTCGGGCTCATTCGCAATGGAATGTCACTGACTGGAGTAGAATAGTCTAGTCTTCAGTAATGAGTCCTGCTTGGAACTGAGACCGATGACCAGCGAAGGCGAGTCTGGAGACGCCTCAGACAGCGGTGTGATGCCAACCTGACTGTCTTCCGGCAGAAAGGCCGACAACCAGGAGTAATGGTCTGGGGTGCCATTTCATTTCATAGCAGGACCTCTTGGTTTTCATCCGTCGCAACCTTAAACGACGGTACGTCGACGAAGTTCTAAAGCCCGTTGTGTTGCCCTGTCACGCCACCCTGGGCTTAGATATCAGCAAGATATTGCCCGCCCCCACACTGCACATGTTTCTACTGCTTGCTTTAGTGCTTCCCGAACATCACCTTCGCCAGCAAGGTCGCCGGATCTCTCGCTTATTGCGCACGTTTGGAGCATTATGGGCAGGCCGATGCTATTC